TTGAAGGCATGTTTAAATACAATTAAATTGACTTAATAATACAAAATAATCTAAAATCTAAACAATCAACGCCCCCTCCCCCAGCGGGCCGCAGTTAAATTATCAAACGATGACAGGTCCGCAGTGATAAAAAGGTTGGGGAACACTGGTGTAAACAACTGCCCCACTAGAGGGCTGCCATTGTTATAGCATAAAACATACATATTTGATAGGCTTTTTAAAATTTTGAAATTGTGTCAATGCTTGGTTAGGATATTATGTCTCAAACAAATCTTGGTGAGAGCTAAAACTTCTTAGGCTGAAAGTAAAAATTTTATAAAACAGTTAACATAAAATTCCAGAAACTTTTTTTTTTGTTAATGATAACCAGTTACCAAATTAATTTTCTTTTTCAAAATTTAAAACAATTTCACTGCATTTGTGATAAAAAAATGTAATAAAAGTATTCATATTAGTTAATTCTGTGCTAAATTATCTAATTTTAAGTTATTTATTAAAATTTTAGAGTAATTTATTTGTTTTAAATACATTTTGCTTTAAAATATATTTTCAGTTTTTGAGAATAATTTTAAAAACAGTGCTTCCAGACCAAAAAAGTACTTTGAAATTTACGTGATAATAAAAATTTAATTTTCCATTGAACAAAATTTAGTGTTAAAAATTCATAAGCATTTCAATGCTTATCTTCATAAGAATATCTAAAAGAGAAAAGTAAAATTTTCATATTAAATTCTACACTTATTTAAACTCTCAATATTTTTATTTTGCAAATTATTTTAAAACAGGCTTACTTATTGCAATTAAGCTTTTTTTTTATTTTAACCTCTGTTGTGTGTGTTTTCTCACTGTATAATATCTCTTTTAGTTTGCAATGTTTGTTTCAAAACCATTTGAGGAAATCTATACAAAACTTAAGAGTCTTTTGAAGCCGCAGTTTTCCTTTTTACCTTCATCCAATAATGCAATAAGCAGGCAGACAGATTTTCTAGAAATAATACGCATCAACTTAACCTGTGGAACATCATTACCAGAATGGCTGACTGCATTTTTAGATAAAGATCCATCAACCTACGGAAACTGTTCCTCTCTCGAGCTCTATTTCATGAGGTTTGTTTAGAATTTTCTTACATAATACTTCTAATTTTTGTGTTTAACATGTGAATTACTCTAAGCAATAGTTTATTTCAATTTTAAAGAAAAATCTTTGCATGCTTCCCAAGGGGATGGTTGTATTCCGATAGTACCCCGGAAATTATGGTTTTTCGTATTATCCTTCGGGGTCTAAAAATTAGGACCAGGGCATATGATGTTTCTGGGAATATCGCGAAATTCCTCGATCATCGGTTCTCGGACTTTCGCTAATCAAAAACTTGTAATCCGACGAAATTTTCACTGAATTCCTCAGTCTAAAATTCCAATTTTGAGACTTTTGCTAATTCTTACATACACATGATTCTTCCTCTAATGGGCAGAAATCCGCCAATAAAATTTTTTTTGGTTTGGTGAATTTTCGCCATTTTGAATATTACGCTGGAATCCGCTAATATTGCGATTCTCATTCACGCTGCTGGAATATCAAACATTGATTTTCTTATTCAAATATATATCGAGTATTGATAACTAATTTTAAAGTTACACGTTGCTATTTGCATTCACGTGGTTTAAAAATCGTACATCGCGATCGTATTCACATGATTTAGAAATTCAATGTCACAATTTGAATTGACGCGTTTTTAAAATCAATTTTGCGATTCGTATTCATGCGTTTTTAAAATCCAGTAACGCGATTTGTATTCACACGAATTTAAAATCCAAATTCACATTCTCGTTTTTTTTAAGTTCAATATTGCGATTCTGTTCACGCGTTTGTAATATCAAACATCGATTTTCGTATTTTCACGTGATTTAAAAGCTACGCATTGCGATTCGTATTTACGTGATTTTAAAATCCAATGTCGCGATTTATATATGCACGATTTTAAGATCCAATATCGTGATTCATATTCACGAAATTTTAAAAATCCAATATTGCGATTCTTGTAAGAACTAAAATTTTTCTTAAATTAGTTACAATAAAAGTGTGATATTTTTCATTGGTAGGCATTTTAATTATAAATATTATTTCAAAAAATTATGTTACGTATGAGACGTGTATGATAAATAAATTGATATCGATTTTTTACACATAAAAATTTTCAAGGTTTATCACCTTGTGTCACAGTTACCCCTGTTTCTATTCCAAATTACAATAAAGCTAATTTTCTTGTAATTTAGCTCTTTATCCCACCTAATACACATTTGAATCCAAGTTGTGGATTGGGATTTGTTTCGGAATCTTTTTAATACAAGGGTCTTAATAATTTGCCCTTGCAGGTAAAATGCTTGAATTAGTGTTAAAGATGCATTGTTGTTAACTATTTATTAAATTAATTAATTTCATTACCAAAAATATTGTTGACAAAAAAAGTGTAGCTTTCTATCTACTTACAAATAAAAGATCGATCCACTGCCCAGTATGCATTTAACTGGTACTCCGAAAACTGATGTTTCTCCTAATCTATCCTCAGCAGATATTAAAATATCAAATAAATATAATAATATCAACGAATAAATTAATATCAAATTGGATACCACTAATATTTCGGACATTCACCAAATGTGATTGTTGACATTCACAGGTAAAAATCAACATTCTCTTGATTTTGGTCATTCACAGTAATAGGGTGCATAGCCAAATCGTTTAACAAAAAATAAGTACCTTTTAAGTTCTCAAAAAATTATTTTTAAGCACTATATACATTAAAAAAAAGCTAAAAAAAATTTCAAAAACTTTACATGATTATGATAAAATAACCAATGTTTCACAAAGAACTCTTTCCTTGATTATATTAGTCATTATAAAAAGATTAAGAGGTTTTTAGGTTCGAGATCAGACGGTGGCAAATGAAGCCTGAAATTGAGAATATCTTGCACAATGCAGCAGAGTAGTAGCATTTGAGAGAGCAATAATCTCACCTAACCCAGCTCAATAGACTCACGTGCAGACTCGCAAATATTTCATCAAACATGTAAAATGATTGGAGATTTCATACGCTACGGACCGACGGGACACCAAAATAGATTGCAGTTGAATGAATTGTTAAAGTGTTGAATAAAACAATGAGAAAAGCTCGCTTTTGCATAATACGTGGCGAAAATCGACATCGTAACGAAAAAAATCTCATTTTCAAGAAAGGAAAATCAAGCACTTTTTAAAAACAACCAATGAAAAAAGCACCTTTAAGGGCTTTTAAAAAACTAAAATTCGAAAATAAGCACCTGTAAACACTTTTTAAAAACGCTATGCACCACGAGTAACATATATAATGTTTCTAATTAGTTTCAATTAAAAAGTGCAAATTATAAAGTAATCAGTTGCAATAGTAAAAGATAAGGGCTTGTGAATCCTGTTTTGATTTGATTTCGAATAAAAATCGTAAGATTTATTTAAAGGTTCTCAACAAATATTATTCATAACAGGCTCAGTTAGTTAGTGAAATAGAAAAGAATTTGTACCATAGATACAATTTTAAGTATTATTGTTTAAAAATAACAAATAAATCATAAAAATTTTACTAGTTCATAAAGAACATATGTTATTGTTGAACCAATCGAAAATATTGAGAAAAAACTCTTCCAAAATTGACCAATCATTAAATTTTGATCTGTAGAGAGCAATTGTACCTTTATCCTTCTATTAAGCATAAAAATATTCTGTGTAACACAAATTTTAAGGACTGTTATTCTGTCCATTTTTCGTTTCAAATCTAATACAGTCGGACCTCTATTTAACGAAGTCACTTCATCCCGATAATAAGTTCGTTCTATGGAAATTCGTTAAATAGAAAATCACCTTTTGAAATACTTAAACGACACGAAACAGGTTTTAAATTCATAAACGGTAGGCATAATTGAAATAGCAGTTGATACAGCTTTATCTTGTAAACTAGTATCTACTATTTATTTTATAAATCTTAATTATAAAAAAAATCTGCATGAAAAGCAGGAATAGAGCAAAACGTTATCCAGTGTTACAGTATCATGCTACATACATTTTCAACTGAAAAGTTATGTATAAAATTATAACTGCATTTATTATCGAAGTAATTTTAAGCATACATATTACCATATGCGTTCAAAAGTTTAATTGCTACTGATAAAATCCGTTAATTTTGTCTTGAGTTTTTCGTTTGAAATGCAAACAAAAAAGGAAAGGGATTTCACTGCTTTCTCTATGAGTTAAGTGACTTCAAAAGTCAATTCAAGCTCATTTCCCCCATAAAATACGTTAACAAGTTTAAAATGTTCTGAAATATTTTGGGAAATACGGAAAGTGGATCTCAAAGAAAAGTTCGTTAAATAGAAAATTAACTTCGCTATTTGGAAGTTATTTTACGAAGAAATTTCCAAACTGTTCTTGGTTCCTCGAAAAAATTCGCAAAATAGAGAAATTCTAAATGGAAGCTCGTTAAATAGAAGTCCGACTGTAGTTACATTATGTTCCTTTATCATACCTAAGTTACACAATATTATAATTAATTGAATAAAATATAATAGTTAATTGAATAAAATATTCCATCAAATTTTTTGGGTAGTTATTGCAACAACAAAAAATATAGATTTAATTTTTTTTGCAATTACAGTACAGTTATATTTTATATGAGAAAATGGTGTTATATTACAAATTTTTTTTATAGGTTTATTCTTCATTCTTATGTGTCTGGTTTAGCAACTTCATTACCCAGAGATAAAGAAATTTTAGTAAGTTAATTAGTTTTCTAACCGAATCAGTTGTTTCAAAATTTATGAATTTAAAGAAAAACATTATAAATATTGTTTTTATTGTTAAGGACTGTTTAAAATTTAATGATATCTTTTCTTTTGTTTTTTTATTATTATTTATTTCCTTACTTTTTTTTTCATTTGGAATTTAAACTTAACTTTTTTTAAACTACCATTGCATTAACAATTTATTTAATAACAGGAGTCCAAGCTATATACTGTGGAAGCTGTCATCATGAAAAACTATATTTCAAAAGTATTTGAGAACTGTCAAGACAAAATAGATCTACTAACTCCTGCACAAGGACAATCACTTCTTCTAATGGCAGACTGGCTTTTTAAAGAGTTCCAAATGCCACTGGAAAGCTTATACTTGGCACTTGGTACTGATGTCCCATCAGATGTGGAATCTATACCTGCAAGAGAAAGATGTGCTATTTGTAAAGGAGATGTGAAACTGGATAACATTAAGTCAGGGCAATGTTCCAAAAATCATTTGTTTGCTCGTTGCTGTCAATCCTTACTTCTGGCAGATGTGATTTCTTATCGACAATGTCCTTCTTGTAAGAGCATAGCTTTGCAGGATGTTTGGAGTTTTGGATACACATGCACCTACTGTGGCATGGCAATGGGCTGAAGATATTCATAATTTACAGAACTTCTTGTTTTATCAGAAAAGGATAGAGCATACTTTGTGCTAAACTAAAGCAAAAAAAAAAAAAAATATCTGAATAGAATAAAGCACAAATGAAAGAATGGACATACTGTAGAAGTGGATCTATGAACACCAACTATCATTAGGTGGTTAGACACTGAGGAAGGTTCGTGTTTATGGAACCGAAACTATAGTATGTCCATTTGTGTACTTTCATTTACGCTTTATTCAAGTTTTTTTTTGTTGCTTTAGTCTAATTTTTAAATATGTGAATTGCTAAAAATCATATTGTACATACTTGAACTCTTCTTAAAAATATGAAACAATTTCACTGTTATTATTTATCATAAATCATTGTTAGTAAAGTTTCTTTTTATTGTATTATTCTTGTTGTTAGAATATTTTTTAATTATATTACTTCTACAGTTAATTTGGGATAAATCAAACTTTAAAAAAAAACTGACAGTGTGGAAGTTAAGAGTTACCAATAATTTTACTCGCTTTATAATTTTTGGATATTATAAAACTATAGATAAATTTAATTAAATTACGGAATTCTATTATTAATTATAAACATTTATTTAATTAATCTCAAGTTTAGGTAGTTTATAAAAAATTAATAGCATAAAAATCAAGTTATAAAAATTAAAAGGTAAATAAGAACTTAAACTGAACAAGATAACCTTTTGCGTTTTTTTATACTTTTCATTTTCAAATTCCATTAGAAATAATCAGTAGTGTTAATGCTGCCAGTGTAATGGAATCTGCTATCAGTAGATTTCATTCCACTAAAATAAAATTGTAGATAAAAAGGATGAGAACAAATTACAGTGAAACCCCTCTGAAGCGACCTCTCTCTGTTCCATAGTAAAATGGTTTTTAATGGAGGTGGGTCGTTCTTAGAGGTTACCTCCATTGACTGCAAAATTTTTATATAAGGTACATGATTTTTCACAAATGGTTTTAATTTTAGTCAGTGTCATTTTTTTTTTGTTTTTGGTACGGAAATCTTCTTCTGTTGGCGCCATGAAAAGACCAATCTTTTAATAAAATTTAGCATCTTTAAAAATGATCCCAACTGTTATAATGATTGTAAAAACAAATTTACCAATTATGAATGATAAAGCTATTTTAAATAAATTAAGAATTATGTTTTTTAAGTTTGCATTTAATTTTATATCATAAAAATTAGTTAGCTTTAAAAGATCAGAAGAGTTTTGTTTGTTTGAGATGCTTGTTTTTTCTAAAATAACTTTTTTTCTTTCTAATTTAACTTTCAACTCTATTAGTAAATCATTGATATAGCACCATCTTTAGCACACTCTGACTGCAACATGAGGTTGTATTGTCAAAAAGAGCTTCACACAAATATTTTGAATAGATTTTAATCTACTTATTTGCTTTGTTAAATTTTTTGTTTTGATATTTTTTCATGTTTCCTTATTTGATCTTTTCCGCATTTGGTGCAAATGGTCTCTCTTAAAGGTTTTCTTCAACACTAAGTCTATAAAAAAATTATGCACCTCGCAAAAGTGGTCGTTAATCAAAGTCGTCTTTCCTAGAGATTTCACTGTATTAGAGTTACAGGGAGTATCTATTTGGCACTCAACACCAAATTATTAAAACCATATTCTATTGCAACAGAAAATAATTATTTGGCCACTCCTTACATGTATTCTGAAATTCAAACACTGATAGTGGCTGCAATACAATAAAATTCCAGAAATAGTGTAACTATGTTAATTGTCCCTGTTTAGTTTCCGAGTATAATAGTAGACTTCCAAAATTACCATATTTATTTTTTAGCAGTATTAAAAGTTTTAGTTATCTGAGATAAAATGAATGAGATAAGAACATTCCAAAATATAATTATAAACAAGACTAAGCTAGTTTGATTTTACAATCCAGTGATCTTTTTCAACTAAGTAGAACTCCACCTTGAAATCTGGAAAAAAAACTAAAACAATTCAATTTATTGTATTCAACTACTATCCCTGCTATTCAAGGCATCCTGGGTAATAGGAACTCTTAATGACAAAGCTATGGAGAGCTAGTAAAGGAGTTCTTGGCATCATCCCATTGTGATTTTGAGGGTGACATGATGGACAACTTTCCAGCAATAAAAAAAAGGGGGGTACAGATATTCGTCATAAGCCCCTGCATTTAACAAGATTGATACCAAGAGAGTTTGCAGACAATTGGTTCGTCATGAGGCTAACCAGGATGCTGGAAAAAAAGTCCTGAAATGTGTGCGTTGTGAATGCCAGGTTGTCCCCATGCTGCTTCTGTAGCTATGGACACAATGTCTTGGCTAATTGTCCCGTTTTAACTTAATTCATCTGTTTCATGTTATTCTGGAAAAGCCACAGCTGCTGATCATCTGGATGTGTGTTCTGGTCTAAAGTGATCATATAATTTGAAGCTAGCTTATATAGCCCATATACTAACAAACAAAGAATAATATGTGTTAAAACTATTAGATCACCTTTTATACAAGATTATAAGATACTAATTAAATTATATGAATTCTTGCAAAATTATTTTTGGTATTATGCTACCAGTTAAATTCTTTGCGCGTAATTTAAGCTGTAATTAGTTCATTTGAAGTATAAAATTAGGGGATAAACTAAGTTCTTTTAGCAACAAGTCAAATATTAATTTAATTACCGATTGTATGGGTTTTCACAGAAATAAGTAAAACTTACGCTATTAACAAATAAGCAAATTAAAATTTATTCAAAATTGTTTGGGGCTCATATTTAGAGAGCCCTTTTTGAAGATCTCTGATAGAGATCTACAACCTCATGTTGCAGTCAGAATGCACTAAAGATGTTATCGGTGATTTGTTTTTAAGAGTTGAATTAGGGGGAAAAGAAGTTATTTTTTGAAAAAACTAAACATCTCAAACCTCTTCTCATTTTTTTGATATAAAATTAAATGCAAACTTGTTTATTTAAAATAGTTTTATCATTCATAATTGGTAAATTTGTTTTTACAAATAACTGTCAGTAGGGATCATTTTTATTGACGCTAAATTTTATTCATTGTACCAGTTTTCACGATTCCCATACAAGTGGTATTTCTACGCCAAGAAAATGACACTGAGTAAAATTAAATTCGCTTGTAAAAAGCATGTACCTTTGATATTTTGAAGTCAGTGGAAGTAAACCCTAAGACTGACCAACTTCATTTAAAGACCATTTTACTCTGGAACTCAGTCAGTCGCTCCAGAGAGGTTCCAATGTAGTATATACAACCTGATTTAAGTTACTCAAAAAAAATTATTGCTAGAAATATAAAAGAAATATTTTTTTTACAAGGAAGTTTTCGTAAAAACTAATTATCAACAAATATAATGTTCCTACAAATAAAATGTAGCCCAGCATAGCTCTTATCACAGAAATAAAAATAAGTATTAGAATCGAGCGTTTTTCTTAAACATGGGCGTCACGGGAGTCCAGATTTTAAGGGAGATAAAATACACAGTCACACTAGTTTTCAAAATTTTAAGCATAACAAAAAAATATCTTCTAAACAACTTAAAAAAGATTAATCTCATTCTTGATTTCATCTTCTGCAAGTTTAAATCTATGATGATTCATGATTTTGTTATTTTTTTTTATTTGTCGGAAATTTAAAGATTTTCCCTCTACCACGGGTAATTAAGAGTACTGTATCGGTAATAATTGTGCAAATGTGTGTTTACCCAAACTTAAAGAAAAACAATAACTTCTTTTTTCAACAGTTTCGTTTATTTACAACAAATCGATATTTTAATAATAAATCAAGATTTAATTCTTACAAAACGATATTTCTCTATAAGGAATACAATAAAAAAAAAAAAGAAACCAATTCAGGAAATACAGTATAACAATCTAAATAGTGTGATATTTATATTTGTACTCTTCAGATCTACACGTAAAGAAACAGAATGAACGAAAAGCAGTCATTCACACAGTGGGTGTTACATCATAAATTACAAGTACCACAAAAGTACTCGTTCATTCATGTAAATGAGCACAAAACTGTCATTCCTTTATCTCTGATCTGATTGTGTTGTATTTGTTTTGTTTTTGTAGCATAGATACAAAGACATTTTTCCCCTTGTTTTGGACAGGAACATGCATTACAAACATAAGGAGCTAAGCTTTCATATAAGAAAACGAATACTTGTAAGTAAATACATGTAGAGATAAGAATAACTTTTTATTTAGGCCTAACCCAAACCAACATGTACAAGTGCTTTCTTCTAGCTAAAACACATAGCACAATAACTTTTTTTTCTTTTAATTTTTTTTTAAATATTTATTTTACAAAATAAAAGCAGCAACTTCCACAAATACTAAAAGAAAAAGAAACAAAACTAAACGTGTCATATAAAAAGAAAGAAAAAATAATGCAATATATATCCTAATAGGCAGGCATTCCAACTGTTTTTCATTAAAATATACATCTGCATGCAATCACTATGATGTTTACATTCAGTAGTAGATGGCAAATTTGTACTTTGATTTTCTGATTATTAAGTCTGTTAAACTGAAAAATTCACTTTCAATTACATAAAACTAAATAAAAAATATCACAAATGTCATGAGAACAATCAGAGAAGTAATAGTGTCCATGTCAAAGTAGAAAGTCAACATGGTAGGTGGAAGAATATAAGCATTTGACAAAGAAAAGGCTTTTTTTTTTTTTTTTTTTTTTTAAAAAGCAGATTTACCCTCCTTTCCCACCAAAAATATTTAAAAAAAATTTATAAATTTTTAGCAAACTGGAAGTAAAAAAAAAAGTTCCTTTTTTTAAAATCAGAATTGATTTGAAAGTTCAATTTCACATAAAGAAAGGAATGGTTATCGTTAAATCAGAATAAATAAGCAAGATAGTAATTTAATAACTTTAAATAAAACTCTGTTTTGTCATGAAAAATAAGCATCATAGCAAAAATTTTGTCATAGCACTGATGACACCAGAATACAAGCTTGTATGCATATCCAGAAAGAACATCAACCAGGATGCAATGCTGATGATATATGCATACAGCAGTATTCCATAATGTACGTTTAGTTACATTTGAGACTGAACATAATAATTGATCTACCTTTGAAACTTTGAAATATAGTATTTATAAATTCAAAATAATACTATTCAATAAAAAAAAAATTTAAACATCAAAATAACTATAAATAATAATAAACTTTCAAAATAATTTTTTAACATATTTATCATTCATTTATTTATAGATTCCCTTATTGCAACATAAAATTTGATGTAAATAGAAATAAAATCGTGAAAATATATAAATTATTTAGTCAAAACATATATATTTAAATACATCCTATCAGCTTTTGGTTTCCCGTTGTTATCTTATAG